GTAAAGAGAAAGCAAAGAAAAATTAGAAAAAGTACCATTCGGTCAAGTCAATAATATATACCTCAAGGAAGTCTTACTTTACTTACCATTAACATGATACAAGCCTGTAATAGAAGTAACAGACTTGTTGAAAATAATCTCAACAATGTATCTTTTGTACTGAAGAAACTTAAGAATATGTAATATGGAGTTGTTTGATTTGCTTAGGTTCTTGGCTTGTATTATTTTGTTAAATCCGAGGTTTGGGATTGAATTGAAGTTTCCCAAAATAATAATTTTGTGTTTGTTCTTTTTTGCTACTTGAACACTTTTTCAAACCATTACATTGTTTGGTTTCTTTCTTTGCCTAGAACTGCTGATATGTATACTGCAATAATTGTAACCACAATTTTGTATTTGAAATGCAGATCAATATTGATACCTCTTTCTATATACTCAATGGTTTTTTCTACATATGTTACAATTTTTTCCTGGATCATTATTATAATTCTTGCTCCTTTGTTATCACTGGATTACCAGGTTCTATAGTTCAGTGCTCTCCAGAATATTGTATATTGTTTCATTATCTATGTTTCTATAATTATTGCAATGTCAATTTGTTGATTTTTACAGTATATATTCCATTGCAGTTTTTTGGTTTCTTTATTAATGTCTCTGATATTATATATTATAATATATCAGATATTAGTTAATTTGTTATGTTTTTTTATTTTATATGTACTTGTTGTATGTTGTATATATGTGGCTGTCTCAGAAAGTGTTATATATTTATTGTTTGTTGTTAAGTAATTTCTTGTTTCTTTTTTGTCTAGTTATGTTTTTATCTGAGTAATTTTCTATTAAATCATATAGATTGGATAGGTTGTTAGTTATGTTATGGCATTAGTACTAATGCTTGAATTGTTTTCCATTAATGATAGTTGATTATATTGTTTATATCTTTAGAAATAAAATTGTGGATTATGTTTATAAGATTGTTTATAATCTGATTAGTGTTTTTGATTATAACATGAATTTGTTTTTGTTATGCTTGAAGATCTTGGATTTCATTATTGTTTGAATACTTGTTTTCTTGATTGGTTCTGTTTAGTTGTTATCTATATTATTTTCTAAGGTGGATTCTGTTTTCTTCATGGCTTCTACACCATTCTTGTTATAATACTCAAGGTTTGTGATTCTTTTATTTATTTCTATCATTTGTTATTTAATTTCTATTAAGTTATATTGCATTTGTCAGAGAATATCTATTACCTCTTAGAGATTATTTGAGTTGTTCATTGGTTGGTCTTGTATTTGATAGCTGCTATATAGGATCCAGATCTGTTTGGTCTGCTTTGGATTTGTTTTACTTCCATTGTTTTTTGATATTTGTTATTTTTATTGGTTTGAATTTCTAATATAGCCTTTCAAATTTGGTTGCTTGTTTTTAATTGTACTGTTGTTACTGTGTTTTTCTTTCTTTGATTGAACAGTTTACTGTTAAATATATATGCCTATTACAAATTGCACAGGTTTTGTTGTCGATTTGAACCTATGTGATTTGTGTTTCTCTAAGAGTAAAATTTTGTTTTAGTGCCTTTTATAAATTTTTTTGATTTTTGAAACTGATAATTGCTACTTTTATTCTGCAATAACTGCCAGTTCTAGAAATGTAACATGTTTTTGCTTTGATTTGTTAACAAATTATGTACAGATCAAATATGATTATATTTGAAAGAAGATTGACCAATTTAGTTATAATGTTTTTTCTATTTTTCATTTCTTGCAGGTTTATATATACATCAAATATTTTTACTGTATCTGCTTTCAATAGAATGCTTTATGTTTTCTTGAGTTTCTTCTTGCTGCTCTTTTCCTGAAATATTAGAATGATAGACTGTCATATGTGTTAAGTACTTATATTCATATTGGTAATTTGTTTATATTTGACAAAAGCTTGTTGCACTTCTATAGATTTTGTATTCAGGAAAATGTCCTATACTTTGATACTATTTTTCTGTTTTATATTAGGGTTTGTGATTGGTATATGTTTTATGTATTTGTTGTTCAAGTCTGAAAGATTGATTGTATATATAGTGTCTGCAGCTTGTTTATCACCAAAAATGGAAATGATCTGTTCTTCTTCTTGTTTTTCTTCTTTGTGAATTGTAAGAATACTTTCAGGACTGATCATGGCTTTTATAATATATTGTATTTTTTGCCAGGTGTTGTTTCTTGATACTTCTAATATTACAATTTCAATCTTGCTTCGTTGTTTTCTATATTTTGTTTCTTTGTCAAAAGGTAAGTATGATTTAAATTTTGTTTCTTTGTCAAAAGGTAAGTATGATTTAAATTTTGTACTGATTCTTGCAACTTTTTCTTTCTTTTTAACTGTTTGCCACACATTTTGTTCTTTTCAGATATCTTGATTGAAGGCATATACTGTATATATATCTCTTTATCATTATTGTTGATTCTTGCTGTTTTTGCAATATATTACTTGGCTTACTTTTGAACTAATATGTCTTTTTTTTTTGTATTTCTTCATTATATACTTTTTCTTCTAGACCAGTTAAACTAAAGTAAATGTTTGTTTCAGTTTTTTTCAGTTATTTGACTCTATTTGTTTTCTATGTCTGTTTTTGTGGATTTCAACTATGTTTTGATTGTCTATTGCTGCTATTATTGTTCTTTTGCTTTTAAAAGCAGTATTGAGAATTGAATTGATACTTTAGTTTCTGGTTTTTCTTGTTTTTTGATGGGTTTCTATACTGAATAGGATGCTTCTCTCTGCTTTTTGTATTGTTTCTCCCCTTGAACATGTTTGCTATGCCGTAATTGAGCCTAATAATCAGGTTGAAGCTTCTTAGACTTCTGTTAATACTTATTTTTTTACTTCGCTTTGGTTTTCTTTTATGGTAATTATATGCATTTAGAAAAGAGTAATGTTGTTTTTTTGAAAAAAAAAATAGTTGATATTGACAGTTTGGTTTTCAATTGTTAAAGTAAAGATCTTCAAAAGTAACTTGTGAAATTGTATTTCTATTATATATAATAACTTTTAATAATCTATAGTAATAAAAAAATTGTTAAAGAAGATTATTACAATCCCAGGTATAATAATAGTGATATTGTTAAATAGAAGATAACTTATTTAATAAGATGATTTATAAAAATTACAATTACATCAAATTCATTTTTGATAATTTGCAGTTAAATGATGAAATTAATAGTTGTTTGTTTCTATCTTCTGGTTGCTATACTTAGTAATTGTAGTAATCCAGCAGGTAATTAGTTGATATACTTGTTTCTTTGACATTATTGGCAGAAAAATAATATAGGCCTAACTGTACAAACATATTTTGATATATTGTATGCCTTAATTTGTAATAATAAATAGTTTATAGTAGGGCTCCTAATGGTATTACTTCAATACCTGTTCGATACCAGTTCAATACTTAAATTTACTATAAATTCATATGAGTGGATCACAACCCATATATTAAATTTACTATAGATCAGTACTATATCAATACCAATTTGGTACCAGTTTAGTATCAGTTTGATACTTTTTAGAGCCCTAGTTTATAGTCTATAGTGACATATAAAACCATGATATAATTTTAAAAGCTTAAATAAGTCTCAACCTTAGATAGCTTATTAATTACAAATATTCTATTTAGTTTAATAAATACTGTATAATATGATAATAGCTAGTAAGAATGTATTATGCTTATATAAAAGTAATAATAAGGACAATAGAGAATAATAATAAGAAAAGCTGCTTCTTAATTAAAAACTTCTTAATTAAGACATATGATCAATATTGTCTAATTGAATAAAAACCAATTAACTTATTTAATCCAGTACTTGTTATAAGAGAGGACATCTAGAACCATAAGAAAAAGTGATAAAAACTGATTAAAGTAGTGAACAATAGAAAGAAAAGAAAAGAATTAGTAGAACTTAACTAAACAAAATTACATACCTCAGATAAAAAAACCAAAAATCTACTTAACATTACATGAGAATTGTTTTGAAGAAGTGACAGACTTGCTAAAAGAGATATTAACAGTATGATTTACAACTCATTACTAATTTATAAACATCTTTACCTATTCTTGGCCAGTAGTAGTTTCTCTTTAGTACTTTATAAGTTTTGTTTACTTCCAAGTGTCTAACAATAATAATGTCATAGTATTTCTTCAATAGTTTAATACATAGTTGTTTATTATTAGAAATTACAAGACTTTGTTCTTCCTTATATTAACATCTCTTTCAATAAGTTAGTCACTTTTCTAGAGCTATTCTTGTATTATGTCAGGTAAGGTTTTGGCTTTTTTACTTGAGATATATGATTTTTGTTCAGCCAAGTCTTCACTAATTCTTTCTTTTCTTTTTATTGTTGCTTTTCTTAATAAACTTTTATCACTTTTACTTTATGGTTCCAATTGTTTTATTTTATAACAAGTACTGAATTAGATAAACTAATTAGATTTTTCTCTTTTCTATAACATTGATTATATATCTTAATTAAGAAGTTTTTAATCAAGATGTGACTTTATTATAAGCAATATTATTTTTGTTACTACTCTTTTTGTCATATTTAATATTTTTCTCTCTTGTATATATATATGTTTTGTAATTGTTATACAATTTTATTACTCTTTTTCTTTATATATTAGCATAATACATCTTCACTGGTTAATATTATATTATACAATTTTACTAAGCTAAAATAGACTATATGAAACTATAACTAATATAAACTTTAAAATAATATTAAAAATATGAAATATATCTATAGACTATCTATTATTAATTATTGAAAATCATCTTTTTTTCCTATGTAAAATGCAAGGAAACTGAGAGGCAGCTCTCTTACCACAAGACCCAACTATAATGACAACAAGCTAAGCAAAGATAACAAATTCAACAAGATCAGAGAAACAGCTGCCCAACCATATCCCACCTCTGCAAAGAAATCCAAAATACATGTCGAAAAACAGGAAACTAGCATGATTCCAATTAGCACCAGCAACACACCGACAGAAACGACAGAAACTACTTCTCCACAAGAACCAAATGATAGAGTTCCCAGTGAAAACTGGACAGAAATGACGGAAAACGAGAAGTTCACAACACAGCCACACTCAGGAATGAAAGGGAAACACGATGACCAAACCTATCAAAGTGCCAACCAAGTAAGTGATAGGGAACCCGCAAGATTAGATGAATTCGACACCGAAATGAACAGCGACTCAGAACTGGACAGAGAAACGGACGGCACAGGCTGGTCCATGGTTAAGAAAGAGAAACAACTTGTCAGACAGAGCACCAAATCCAGAGCGTTATCCCCAATTGATTGGATAAAAAGATACGGAAGGAAAAGATTCAAACTGAAGATACCTGCAGACAAAGTCAAAGGCAAATACACAAGCAGCAAAATACAGATGGTTGCCAAAGTCCTTGGCAGCCCAATCGGCCTAATTTCCATTCATACTGAAAAAATCGAAAATATCGAACATATCATAACAATCTTCAGAGATCAGCAAGCGGCAGATGATGTAATGATCATAGTTTCGGATAAATTTTACAACGATAAACTCACATGCATGGAAATGCTAAGTCCCATTCAAAGAAGGGAAAATGCGATTAGGGTGTGGGACATACCACTCAATGCAAAAACTATAGACGTCCAACAAACCTTCACCAGATACGGCAATATCATAAGCATCACCATGAGCACGCAACAAATGTGGCAATCAGCAACCATATATTATGAGGACAGGAATGATAAAAACAAACTTGTCGAACTCTGGTCTGTATCATTCAAAGCAGATATGGTAAGAGTTTTCGACACAACATGGGATATCAACCAAATGAAGTGCAGACAATCCACTTCAATTAAGCTCTGTAACCTATCCCCCGGCACAACAGCATACGACCTTAGAGACGTAATCACAGAAACACATGCCAAGACATGCTACATCTCCAGGAAAATGTTATATCAAAGGAAAATATTTGCAGTCATAGTATACAAAAACCAACAAGAACTTGAAAAAGCAACACAGAAGACATATAAACTAGGAGACACGACATTAAGCTGGCAACCAATAGACACCAAACTATGCGCCATCTGTGACATGTACAATCACTTAGCAGCTGAATGCCCAATCAAACATCGCAGAGAACAACTGAGAACATACAACGAAGAACAAGCGAAACAGTTTGGGTTCTATACTGCAGATACCAACTGGTCAGAACCACCCCAATCAGAAACATCATCAGAAATAAAAAGAAAGAAAGCAATGGAAAAAAGTCATATGCAGAAATAGCCCGCAGAAACCATGAAGTCAGACCACCAGGAGAAAATCGTACACAAACGAGACATGCAACAAATTGCAAGTGACAGTCCTCACCACATTGCAACACATTCTCAAAGAAATCAAGAGAGTTAAAAAACAATTGAATGACCTAGATAAAAAAGTAAAATGGATCGAATCTATTTACAAAGAAGAGGCCAGAGATAATATGACAAATGACAATCAAACCATCGTAACAACCCAGAGACACAGACAGATGCCAAAACAACCAGAGCCAGTAGCGAGTGGAACCACAGAAAAGCCGATCAAAGACCTGAGAACCGAACAAGAACAGCTATATTCTGGAATGGAGAGAATTGAAAAAGCTCTAGCTAAAGTAATTCACATAGCATGGGACCAGAACAATGATGAAAACAACAACATTACCGGAACACACACGACAACCTCCCACTATCAATAATGGGGAACCACAGTAGCACAATAGAAGTGGACCCAGCAATGCCCCTAGGTAATCTGCTGCACCCAGAATTCGTGCACGAACAATCCGTCGAAGAATCAAGAATATTAGAAACACCAATTAGCATAACAATGAAAACAAACGCAAATAATAAAAAGCCAGCAAAGTCACCAATGCAGTCTATGAATGCCAAATCTATCAAAGCACAACATATGAACGTCCCTTAGCCATTACACTCAGAATCACAACATCAAACATAAGGGGATAAATAACGATTACAAAAGAAATCTCTGGTTCGCTCAATGGCATATATACAAATGGGACATCATAATCACAACAGAGACAAACAGTAGATTACAAAATAAAAAACACTGGAAAAATGATACATACACAATATATTGAATCTTGGAAGAACAACTTTTAGGAGAAGGCGTAGGTGTTAGCCTTAAAGCACACCTCATGAAAAGAGTCATAAGAAAACAAACAATACCGGATAGAGCTATACTTATAGACTTAGCATTTCCACGGAGGAAGTATGTAGAATAATAGAAGTATACACATACGCAGTCCAATCAAAAAGGGCACAACTGGAAGCGCAAGTGAGTAAATGGATCCAAATTGCCAGACAAGACAACTGGGAAGTAATCCTGGAGGGATCTTAACAACATTCATAGACCCGCTATAGACCATCACTCTGACACAAACAAAAAAGAAAAGGACAAGTGGACATGCAATAGCATACTGATCAACAACATGACAATGAAGGAAATGAAGGACACATTCAGATACTTATATCCAGAAGTCTGGGAATACATATGGAAAAACATAGCAGGAAGCGAAAGTAGAATAGATCAGATATGGGCAACAGACAAGGGAAACAGCATTATCCAAGCGGTGGAGATCATTGAGGAATCAAAGGAGATACATGACTCGGACCACAAGATCGCGGTGACACAGATAACCTTCCCTGGACTGACAAACCACAAACAACTGAACAGAAGAAGAACATCCAACACCAGATACAACTGGGCAGAAATTGAAGAACATAGATGGACGGCATGGATAAAAGACATTGAAGACGAATGTATAGGAAGACTCAACACACAAATGACCGATACCTCACAAACCACAAACGAACAATGGAACAAACTTAGAGAGATAATTCTGGTAGCCACATGCAAGCACATCAAGAAAATAAAGAAAACAAATGCTATAGCAAAAACAAGGAAGCAAAACAAAACCTACATAGCATGGTCGAATTAATTAACATATCACAAATAATTTAGAGTGCAACAAGATACATAGTGGATCCATTAAAAGCAAGCCACATAGACAAGATAAAGAAGCTGGCCGACGTACACAAAACCACAATAGGACAGCCAATATCGTGGACCCTATAACACATAAAAGAGTAGCTGCCAGAAGTCAGAAATATAAGAAACATACTACAAAAAAGTCACGTGACTAGAATCATAGAGACAAAAAGAAACGCAATAAGAACAGCATTAATACAAGAATGAACTGGCTGGAAACAGACAAAAAAAGAATAATCAACAGTATTCTAAGAAATGCTCGTGGACAAATTACACTCGACAGAATCATAACGCAAGAGGAAAACCCGGAAGTAGTATTGAATGAGGATAGAATAAAACAAGCAGTACAAGAGTACTTCAGAAAATGGACACCAAGAGGAGACCAGAGGAGAATCGACAAAGAATGGCTCCTCGAATTTCAACCTATCAGAAACATACGAAGTAAATGGTATAACAGCCTAATGGAAGAAATCAGCACAGAAGAAATACGGGAGACAATACTAAACACGAATAACACATCAGCACCAGGCCCCACACAGATCCCGTACATAGCCCTCAAGAAGCTCAGAACACAAGCAATGAAGACAATCATGAAGATATTCAATAATGTACTAACCCACCATAGAATGTCCACAGAATGAAAAAATAAAACGATTTATTCTATACCCAAAACAATGGACTGGGAAAACGACCTGTTGAAAGTTAGGCCTATTATGCTCCTAGAATTGATAAAAAAAATATTCACAAAGATATTGACAAAAAGACTTACTATAGTTTTCACTTCACATCCAATACTATCAGAATACAACTGATCCACGCTACCCAAGTTAAGCACAAGAAAACCTATTAGGATAGTAAACAGTGCTATAGACAATGCAAGACTACACAACAAGAAATGCTGGCTGATCTTTCAAAACATATCCAAGACATATGATCACATCAACATCAATATCCTTGAACATACACTCAAAAGACTCAAGATACCAGATCCTTTCTGCGAGTTAATAACAGAAAACTTCAACCATAGACACAACACAGTCATTATAGTCGCAGGTATGACAGATCCATATGAAGTCCAAGGTGATATAGACCAAAGGGACACTATATTGCCCATATTATGAAGGATATACTATGATCTATTGATCACAAGAATAGCAAGAATGAAAGGATATACATACATATGCAAAAGATCATCACAGTCCGAGCCCAATACATATATAGAGAAGACAAACATATTGCTAGCAGCATACATGGATGACACCACATGGGTAGCAAACAACAAACATAATATGCAAAGAATAATTAACACTGCAGAAACCTTCTACGACATAACTGATATCCAAGTCAACCCATACAAGATACACATGGTCGTAATAGGGAGAAACAACCCACCGACAATAAACTTCAGAGACACAACTATCAATCACACAGAAGTGTCAATCAGATACCTAGGGATATGGATACAAAAAAAAGTGGGCAAAATCTTTCAAAAACAAATCCTAAAGGAAAAAACCAATCAAATCCTTAACAAACTCAAATGGAAACTGACAACCGACAAACAAACCGTTTACATTCTCAATCATGTACTCTTCCCCAAAATAGAATACTTACTCAATGACATGGTGTTGTCCAGCAAAGAAGTCACAGATATCAATAGGAAGATAAGACGAGTTTTAAAAAACAAATTTGGATTCGTGTCAACTGCACCAAACTTCCTGATATACAGCCGATCAGGCTACAAGGTTTTCGACCTCCAATGCAGACAGATACAAAAACATCTCATGGATATGAAGGCACATATGAATCAAAGAAACATAATGTCATACATAACAAAAGCCAACGTCGAAAACATACAATAGGAAACCTGGTCATAAACATCTGTACTGAAAAAATGTTTCAAAATGTTTAAGGAAAACCACAACTTCACATATGACGTAATATATAACTATCAAAAACACGATCTGAGAATAACAATAGGAGGGAAGCAAACTATAACACAAGAAGAAAGATTCAACCTAACCACAATAGAGGAAATCATGGGAAACGAATGGTTCAACACAAACAGAAACAAGTTCAGGAAACTTAATCTAAAGTGGATCGAGCAGATGTGTAATGCAGACGTCACAAAATGCACCACATGGATCGATATTTCAAAAAGATTAAACCGGTACATGAGAGGACGCATACTAACAATTTACAA